TGGGGTGTGAGTGTTTCCTTGTTTCTCAAGGTCCTTTTGCTGGACTTGTTTCATGTTTGGAAGGCGAATGAAGTCTGATATGGCAGAAAAACGAACAATTATGGCGAGATAACAGACTGTAGATGGCCTTTCTAACCCTCAGATTGCTCACCCAAACCTTAGGATCGTTTCCCCTCGAGCGCGTGAGTTTGTGGGGAGGGGTCGAGGGATTTTAAAGGGGGAAACTCCATTCCCCAACAAGAACACCAGATCCATGTTCCATCCCACCACATCTCGGCGAAGGTGCGAGAGTCGCCCAGTTTGCAATACCTAATCTCGCTCTCATGCCATTACCATCTAGCGGATACGGCACCGGACATTGTGTGTGGTGGGCTTCACCGACATATCCGCTGTCGGATGAGTCTGCAACCAACAACGAGGGAAGCAGCACCCATTGGAGGGGTCAAGATCCAGACCAGGCTAGAGTATGCAGATGTTATCACGTAGCAGGGTGTCCCGTGCAGTACATAGTTACTTTGGGCAGTGACCAGCTTGGGGAGGCTATGTAATAGCGCTGGGATCGTTGGTGATCATGCTAGGCATCGGGATTGAGCAAGGCGCCATGTTGGCGTCTAGTTCTCGAATTTCCCGCCTTTCCCCGCCGACTGAGAGGAATCGCCCCTAGAGGTAACCAGGCGCCATGCTGCAGACGATCGCCAGGAGGGGTGACGTTTCCGGGATCGACCGAACTTTCAGCTTCTCTTTGAGACGCGGTTCCGGAATAGCCTCTATTTCAGATATGACCAAGATGCGGCTCTTTTTCTCCCGATCGCATAATGAAGGATCCAATCTGTCGGAATCCACGGAATGGCTACCAGGCACAAGAACCAAAACCAATTGGCACCATTGCGGCAATCGATGGAGTGGGGGGTACCTCGCTAGGTATGTCCTAATTAGTATCATTCCTTGACGAGGAAGCGCATCTTGGTGGCGGGCCGAGGTGGGCCGTAGATCAATCGGGCATCGTGCCGTTCCTTTTCAACAAGTGCCGAGTCGGGTGGTCTTGTCCACCAAAACAATCGGAAGGAACTTCTAGTACACCTCGTCAGGTTGTTGGTGGAATATAGCCACCACGCAGTTACACAGCAGTTATGAGCGTGCCGGCGATCGCCCGGTCATAATTGTGCGACCGCACTGACAGATTGCTGGGTATGGTACCCCCAATGATATTATTCATGACGGTGGGCAAAAGAAATTCACATCATTAAGCAGCTGGAATTTGTTGAGAGAAAAGAAACCATCGAGGACGAAAATTCAAAATCTTCATGGTGAGTGAGTGGTCATCGACATTCGACAGGGACACGCAGAAGAGGAAAGGAAGCTAAAAAAAAAAAATAGCTTCCGCCAATCAAAAGATGTGGGTCTAATTAATTGTTACTGAATGTCAACATCCGTCATACAGCACAATGGACCCCCCCCCTGCTCACACCTCTGACAGCTCGGCGTCGGGTGTAAGCGATAAGGGTTAGGGGTGTGTAAGTGCGATCACCCTTCCTGCCAATTGCCCAGTGCGTCAGTGGAATTGCATGTTCCAGTGTCGCGTGGCGCTGCGACCAAGCGTTTTTTTAGTTGGTAGTAGGTAGTGGACGTGGTGGGGTCAAACTGGTCACTGGCCGCCCGCAAGCCCAACTCCTCCGTGTTTCGAAAGTCACTTTGCTTTAACAGTTCCAAGTTGCAAGCCCTCCAGAAACTCAAATCGACTTCTTCTACGCCACCACCAGACCGAGCTCTTACAGAACGCTTACATTGCTCGACTACACGATATCGAGGAAATCCCAGATTCCCCTGCGACTGCCGAGCACCTGAACCGGGGTCTGCCCTGGACGCGGCGCCATGGACGGCCTCTCCATCATTAAGGATCACCAGAAGGGTGCGTCGTGACCGGTGGTTGTTCCCTCTATGATGGCGGTTATGTTGACTGGAGTTGCGGAACCACAGCGATCATCAGTACAATCCAACAAATCACCCGCGGCGATGTAAGCTCGGACCCTCTCCTCTACCCCTTTCCCCCGACCTCGACAACCCAAAAAACCGGGGAGAACCATATCCACTGACGCTGGCGCACGAACTGTAGTGGAAAGTATTGGTTCTCGACGAAAACACCAAAAAGATCATTGACAGCTCCGTCAACGAAGATGACATCCTCAATCACAATATCGCTAGTATGCCCTGCTTTCCCCTGAGCCACAACCCCGCCAGAGCACTAAAGAAGAGACAGATATCGAGCGCATCGAGGAACGACGAGCGCCGAACCCGGACATGGACGCCATATATTTCCTGTCGCCCAAACCACACATCGTCGACTGCCTCCTTGCCGATTTCGAGCGCCGGAGGTACAGGAGCGGCTTCATAGTATGGGCTGGCCTCCTACCAGACGCTCTTGATCGCCGACTCGATGTTGCCCGGAGGCAGATGGCCGCCAAGCCCATGAATCTCTTCGTCGACTTCTACCCCCGGGAATCACGCATGATCACCTTTAGAGATCCCCACAGCTTCCTTCTCTTGTACAACCCGTTCTGCAACGACTTGGTGGGAGGCTACCTGAAGGAGCTCGCGCGCAAGATCTCTTCTGTATGTATTACTTTGGGAGAGTTTCCCAAGATACGGTACTACGCCCCGAAGCACGTTACGCATGAAGCAAGAGTCTTATGTATGCATCTGGCTCGCTTCGTCCAGAAGGAGCTCGACAATCACCATGATCGGGATCCCAACTTTCCGCCCCCAAACCCCCGGCCGCAGTCAGTCCTGCTCATCACCGACAGATCGATGGATCTGATGGCGCCGCTGTTACATGAGCTCACATACCAGGCTATGGTTCATGACTTGCTTCCAATAAAGGAGCAAGACGACGGCAAGGTGACGTTTAACATGACGATAAACGAGGGGATGCAAAACGAAGAGGAGAAGGACATGGAAATACAAGAAAAGGACAGCGTTTGGGTCGGTACTCGACACATGCCTATCGGAGACACCTTGGAGAAGCTTTCAAACGACTTTCAAAAATTCCGCGATCAGAACCCCAACTTTACAGGCAAGAATGAGGGCAGCACGAGCCTGAACGATATCAGAGACATGTTCGCAGGGCTCCCGCAGTTCACCGAGATGAAGGAGGCATATTCGCTTCACGTCACCATGGCGCAAGCAGTCAAAAACATCTTCACAAAGTACAAACTGTTCGACGTGGTCGGGTTAGAACAAACTCTCGCCACCGGGCTCGATGAGGAGCTCAAGAAGCCAAAGGGTGTGCTGGAGCAAGTGGTACGGCTCTTGGACGACCCAGAAGTCACGCCAACAGATAGGTTACGTCTCATCGCCATTTACACCCTATTCCGTGATGGCATGATCGACCAGGATATCATGAGGCTTCTATGGCACGCGCAACTGCAACGCTCGCGGGACAGCACCGACAAACTCATAATAGATAACCTTGAACTCCTTGGCGCCCGCCCACTCAAAGACCTCAAGGAGGCCCGCCAGCCCATCCCGCCTCTTTTCCCGCCCAACATCAACAAAAGCGAGGAAGTAAATGCCCTCTCACGCTTTGAACCGGTCATCAAACAAATGCTCGAGGACCTCTGCAACAACACCCTGGATCAATCCACCTTTCCCTTCACAATTCCACCACCAGCCGACGAGCAGAGTAACGGTCCAGCGACCCAAGCCTCCCTCCGATCCGCCGCGCCCCGTTGGGCTTCCGCCAACCGCCGCCAAGTCGAGAACCGTCAAAGAATCATTGTCTTCGTTGCCGGCGGCGCCACCTACTCCGAATCCCGAGTCTGTTATGAAGTCTCTGAAAAGCACAACCGAGACGTCTACCTAGTCACATCCCACCTCGTCGCCCCAAACAAATACATGGAAGATCTGCGTCTGCTCAATGCCGACAGACGCCGACTGAACTTACCGATCGATCAACCGCCACCCAAAGCACCTGCCCACCTGTTTGAGAGACCTGCCCCACCGCCACAACAAGTGAGGCCGCAGGCTCCGCAAGGCATGGGGGGGCCACCGCAAGGGATGGGAATGGGAGGGCAGATGCCTGCTGGCGGGCCGAGGCCGCCTACTAAAGCTTTGGGCGCAATGACGTTGAACAGTGGGAGCGGTTCCGCGGGACCGCCGGCTGATCACCAGAGGTCGGGGTCCGGTGCCTCGGCGGCGGATTCGTCAAAAAGTGGGAAGAAGGACAAAGGGGAAAAGGAGAAGAAGAAGAGAAATATTTTTGGCATCAAGAAGTAATCGAGGGTTTGTATCTAAGAGGGAAATGACAATGAAAGGTTGAAGAGGTGTGTTGTGGGGTGTAAGTAGATGAAAGACGGCAAAGGTGTAGGGGAGTGAAAAGGCTTGCATGTTCGTGAGTGTGAAAGAGAGAGAGAGAGAGAGAAAGTGTTCAGTGGCCATTTTTTCTTATTTCTTCCTTCTTTTCTTCCTTCTGCCTCTCTCTTTTGTTACCATCCATTTATTTACCCAGATTTGACTTGTTTGTTCTTGTTCTTGAGGGGGGGAGGGATTTAAAAATCGAAGCATGGCGTGTTTTTCTTTTTCTTTTTTTCTTTTTTTTCTTTCATTTCTTGGAACGAAGTGTAGTGTGTGTGGAAACGAAGCTTGTTCGCCAAATATAACCAAAGAAAGAGAGGAGTTTTTTTTTTGAAATAATGAATTTTTCTTTAAATTATTATAACTATTTTTTAGGCATTTATTAATACGTATCTAGTAATTTATAATTTTATTCCCTATTTCTGGAAATAATTTTTTCGGGTTATGTTTGTTGACAGCAAATAAGTATATATTTAAATATACGGGATAGATAATTATCTGAGCGGCGCGCTGCTTGTGTCTTTTGGTATACATTTCAAAGCCTCTTTTTTTTTTTGGGGGGGGGGGGAGGGACAAACCCGGAGCGAGTGTTTGGAGAGTGTCAAAGATTTTTTCGCGACGCTAGCAGAATAACTGTCAGAAAAGACTACGGCCGTGTGGCGCAACGGTAGCGCGTTACTTTCCGGTATAATGCAGCTTCAAATCTTCAGTTGGTAAAGGCTCTGGGTTCGAGTCCCAGCATGGTCGACACTTCTTTTTGTTCCCTTCCTTTTTGTTTCTGTAATGTCTACCGTCATTAAATCCAGTAGCTTTAGCTCTAGCTCTCTCTCTCTCTCTCTCTCTCTCTCTCTCTCTCTCTCTCTCTCTCTCTCTCTCTCTCTCTCTCTCTCTATATCGAGGGAGGTGAGTAGCAAGGAGGATAAAGAAGAGAAAGATCG